TATATCAAAATTCATTAGAAATGTTTTATTGTCTATTAGTAATCAATTTAACTTCACAAGATTAATTGAAGCAGACAGATGAATTCATAACCACATGCTGGAAAAGCAACAATTTATATTTAATAAAACACACTTATCTGCACAATTTGTCAATATAAACACCTTAGCTATAACCAGCACTACAATGACAGTTTCAAGATAAGTTAATGGACAATTTATTCTTTCATGGAGGTTGATTTGGTTGCTTCCTGTCTCATCTGCAAGTAGAAGGCCATTGTTGCAAGCTACACTGCTCTCTGATACACAAAGGGAGAGCAAGGGGAGCCCACTTCAAAGAGTACACACAGATAGGTGACAAAAAGAATGAAAAACCAACATCAAGTGTCTCAGTAAGGTCATAGACCACCACGCGCCACCAGAACAGTCTCAGTGCACTTTGGCAATGAGTCCACAACTGCTGCCTGTGAAGCCTATAGCATATAATTCACGTCATTTTTATATTCATCAAACTGATCAATGACTGCTCCTGCCCTTTGGATGGGGGCACTGACATCCTGAAAGAGAACCCTCATTTAATCGTATGTAGTTTGTAATTATTAGTTTAGAACAATCTCCTGGATTAAAGGTTTCAAAACTTGTCTAAACACAAGAAATGCCCTGGCCTAATTTTAGGGCAGAGCACTGTAACTTTTTAAAGAAGAAACAACTAATTTGACCTTTTTTTCAATTAAAAAGTTTAATTCATAAGCAGTAAAACATCCTTTCTGGGGTTAGGATTTGCTTCTACATTGCTGCACTTTTTGTATTGTATGTGGAGTGCCTCAGGGTTCTGTTTTGGGACCTAAATTATTTATATTATACATTAACGATATATGCAAGGTTTCTGATTTAGTGAAAGTGGTTTTAGTTTGCTGATGACACTACCATATTGGCATCGGGTGAAAACCTACAGCAACTTTTTGGACAGGTTTCACAGGAACTTGAGAAGATAAAGAAATGGTGTGATAGCAATATACTATCTCTGAATTTGGATAAAACTAAATTTATGGTATTTGGGAATCGTAGACTAGATAATGAACTTCAATTGAAAATTGGGGGAGTACATGAAATTAAATTTCTAGGTGTCGTAGTTGATGACAAATTCTTCTGGAAATCTCATATCAGATATGTTCAGCACAAAATAGCAAAAAATATATCGATATTGGCAAGGGTTAGATATATTTTGGATGGGAAAGCACTACGCATTTTGTATTCTTCATTGATTTTACCATACTTAGAGTATGGCGTTGAAAACTGGGGAAATACATACAAAAGCTCACTTCAACCATTGTATATATTACAAAAAAGAGCGATCAGAATTGTGCATAAGATGGGGTATAGGGATCACACCAATGGAGCTTTCATACAGTCTAAATTGTTAAAATGTTTTGATTTAGTGGGATATAAGACTGCAGTGTTTATGTATAAAGCCAGGAGCAATTTATTACCTGGTGGAATTCAAAAACTATTTAATGAAAGGGATGGGGGATACAATTTAAGGGGTCAGTTAAATTTAAAAATTCATGCTATACGTACAACCAAAAAAAGATTTTGTATTTCCATAAGTGGGGTAAAACTATGGAATAATTTAAGTGTGGACATAAAAAATAGTAATAGAATTGACGAGTTTAAACATAAATATAAAGGTATGTGTCAATCAAGATATATGTAAGAACAGGCTTAATGATTAATTAGATGGAACATTGTGGGTGTGGTGTATGAATGTTAACACCTTGTATTAATTCTTTAGTATGTTACTTGTGTGGTGTAGAAGATAATTATTTAAGAATGTAATTATGTAAGAATGTTAACACTCTGTTATAATTTTTTAGTATATTACTTGTGTGGTGTAGAAGAGAATTATTTACTGCTTGCAAACCAATGATGGTAAGATGATGTCATGGGGTAGGACTGGATAAGTCTGACTTCTTCCTACTCCATTCAAGCATGTACTAGGTATAAGCAAATTGATATTGGATTAGCATTTGTTGGATATGTGTAAAATTATGTGTGTTGATATATCAACTGTCTTTATATGCTTGAAAGAATAAATAAATTAATTAATTACAGGCCACATTAGTCCTTTACAAAGATTGTTACACTATGACCTATAAAGTAAATGCAGCTTATCATTTCATCACTACCATGTGTCATCATGGAAATACCTGTTCTCTTGTGTGTTTTAAATAAACAGCTCTGTAACTTCCTCCTACTAATGTCACTGGACTTTAATGTTTAAGCGTTTGCCAGGTTACAAAGGGCACAAAACATCCAGTGGTGGAATTTTTCTCAAGATGAAATTAACACAACAGGAGTTTGGTTGCCAGTGAAGTGCAAGTGTGCAGGAATGACTACAATGTGTACACTGCGCAAAGAGGAGTGTTATCATTAAGAGACCTTGGACAAACTACTCTTTTTAAACAAAACTTTATTTACAGCATGTACAAATACAAACTCTTACATACACAAATAATATAAAAATATTATACAATTCTCTTATAACTTAGCTGTACTGCATAACAGCACTTAAAAAAAACTTTAAGCAGGAATTTTTATACTGAAGTATAAAAATAAGAAACATCAGTGGTTACTGGATAACAGCCATTGGCTGGAGCTGGGCTCTGCCATCTCGCCTTGAAAAGTCGTCTTCATCCTTGAGGTCTATATCTGTGCTTTTGAGGTCTTGATATGAACCATTTGTGCTTTAGTCCTGCAATGATAATTAGGTGAGTTGTTAATTTTCTTTTTGAGAAAACACATTTAACAGGCTACAGATTTACAATATTTGGTAGTTATGCTGAAACAATTTCCTTGCTAAATCTTACTTTAAACGGTTGATGTAGTCCATCACCCAGTTCAAAGCAGGGTTGGTGCATGCTTTACCCTTCTTTGTGTGGAAACTACAATTAATAAGAAGGGAAAATAAATGTTAATATACTTTTAACATAGATGTTATGTCTCTGGTTGAGAAGCAGTAAATGAACATCCTTTTATTGATACTTACATGATGGCATTGATGGGACACAGCTCCGCGACAGTCTGTACTGAGTACCCCTTGATTGACACAAAAGGTATTTTGATTGTCATATATCTTCGACAGCATTCATAATGTGCTGTGGACAAGAAACAGAAAACCTGTCAGTCTGAGCCACTGTGGAATTTGTGCAATAATCAGTAAGAAAAACTAACAACATACAAAGGAATAATATGTCTCAAGAGAGGAAACCTCAGTGCATACCTGCAGATGTGTTTGTTGCTAGCAGACAAATGGTAAGGAGCGTGATCACTGTCACTGTAGCTTTGACTGACACCATGTCTTCTACTGTGCTGGCAACAGTGACTCTGAGTTAAGATGCTGTCTTGGCTGTCCTCAGGTGGAGTCAGAGAAGTTGTCGTGATGAGTTAATATAGGCTTATATACTCCTCAGAGAAACAGGAAGCTTCCACTCAGAAAAGCTGGACCTGCCCACACCAGAAGAACTACAGCACCAGAAAACCCCCCTCATTTTGTTCTTTAAAAAAAAGGGGTTGTGGAAAGGCAAGAACTTTGCACAGACAGCGGTAGTGTTTTTAAAGTTACAGAGGGAGAACTAAAAGTAACCAGTATAACCAGTATGGTCATTCTTTGTTGTCAGTTTATTGGGAATTCACTGTCAATATAAATTCTGTGACTTATTTACATAAGGGATATAAATAAAAATAGAACAAAATAAAGTAAAGAAGAATAGAACTGGAACTTTGTGTACATGTACACACACACACACACACACACTGATGGCACACACTTATTATTTACACATGTGACTTTACATGTGTGTCCTACTGTGACGTCAAAATGTCTTCTGTGGAAAAGTCTTATTAAAATGACTAAAACAAGGGCTAAAGTCCAATCAGACCCCTTGAATGTGGTAGTTGTCATGTTTTTACACTGCGTCTACATCACCCAAATGGCATCTTTGTAGTACATCTCATAAGCAAAGGTGATGTAAAAATACTGCAGTTCAACAAATTCTAATAGCAGCGTATGTGAGAACTAGATGTAAGGACAGTAAGTAAAATTTAAAACCGCACTGACATTGCATCATGTGTATGCAGCAATAAGGTCAGCAGGATGTTTGCTGTGTTACAAACTCTTGCTCGTGAGACTTTTGTTCTACCAAAATAAAGTATTATGTGATAGTTTAAGGATCGCCTTCAATGGGAATAAAATCCAGGCCGTTGCGTGTTCATGTGAGCTTGCCTGACATCCACTGGTGCCCCCATCGTATTGGCAAAATGTTATACTGCCTTGTTTGTTATGTATGTTTTCAATAAAGCTTGTTAAAAAAAAAAGGACATCCACAAGTGCCATTGTAAAAGTGGAATTTTTTTAATGTGCCTGGTTTTGTGGATATATTTTACCCTGCCAGTTAGGAGATGACCTCCTGACACACAGCTGCCCCAGTCAGCTGAGGAGATAAAAACACATCAGTGAGGATTTTCTTATCACTACACCTTCAAATTGTGCAACATGGGAAGTTCCAAAGGTCTGGCAGTGACTTTCACCATGAAGATAACACTGTCAGTCATTGTATATAATAATTTGACGTTATTTGACGTTAATTTGACATTTAAACAAAATAATTCAGAGAGCAGGAGGGATGATGTTCCACTGAAGATCTCAGTGTGTGCTGGCTTGATGTGGGCTGCTACAAGTGGGTTGCTTTAAGGCCTTGCAAAGGGTTTTTTCTAGGTCAGAGGAACTTTTACTACTCAAGACCCATGCTACAGAGGAAACAAGTGCTTTGGGACCACTGAAATAGGTCACAATACGGTTAAAGTCAATCATCATAAACTTTCCACTAAAACCACACCATCTTTGAGTTACATCGCATATTACTTATTTCCTGCAAGGTGCATTTTCATCCTGTTGGTAAGTTACAAAAAAAATTCAACTACTGTGTCTTCTGTCACTTAACTGTGAGACAGAATGCTCTCCTGTGTTGTTTACAATCGGCTGTAATGCTTTGATTCTCACAGGAGTACAGATTTCTTACTGTTTTCCAAAATTTATTTGAACTATTTCTAACTTATTCTCCAAATAACGGGCCATTCTGGTGTCTAGTTCTCACCTCAGTTCAGACTTTAGGTTCTGATAACATCTTCTGATATAGTCTTACAACATTTTTCCAATGTGATTTAAAGAAAAGGGTCACATTTTATTCAAGTCTACCTTAATGCAATACAGACATGTTCACATGTACTCAAAATGTGATGCAATCCTTTAATGAAAGGGATATTTTAGGAAACCAGGTTTTTGTGAGAACAAAGCATGAAGTGACACATAAAGAAAGAAGTGGGAAGTTTTGATCATTCAATCAGGTTTTCACAACCCACTTCAAACTACTGAGAAGAGCAGAGACAAAGAAATGCAGATATATATCATATGAAACAATCAAAATTGTTTGAGAATAGTTAGAAAATGTAACAATACAGAAAATTCCTCTGGGACACCTTTGCCTGTAATAAGGACTTTATTGAGAATAAAGTTTTGAGTCAAAGTTGGTCCTGTAACAGCTCTTTTCCCAAGCAAACATTTAATTTGTCATATTCAGAAACACACACTCTACAACATTAACAACAGTGTCGCAGTAGGATGTAACCATGTGAGAGTGAGCCAGCATGAACAACACCAGGACCCTGAAACAGAAGCAGCTGAATGGAATTCAGCCACCGTGAAGTATTATTATTTACACATGTGACTTTACATGTGTGTCCTACTGTGACGTCAAAATGTCTTCTGTGGAAAAGTCTTATTAAAATGACTAAAACAAGGGCTAAAGTCCAATCAGACCCCTTGAATGTGGTAGTTGTCATGTTTTTACACTGCGTCTACATCACCCAAATGGCATCTTTGTAGTACATCTCATAAGCAAAGGTGATGTAAAAATACTGCAGTTCAACAAATTCTAATAGCAGCGTATGTGAGAACTAGATGTAAGGACAGTAAGTAAAATTTAAAACCGCACTGACATTGCATCATCAGCAGGATGTTTGCTGTGAGGTTTTGAGTTGCTTGGTGCTTTAGCCCTACCTGTGTACTTTTACTTACTGTAAATCTGCAAGTCAAAGTAGCAACATATAAATATTTTATTAAAAGTAAAAATACTGCATTACATATTATACAATCAAATAGCTCCTGTCATTTTTATATTATGGTATTTGTGTAATGTTTTGTTAATGTAACAGGTACATTATTGTCAAAGTTGTACATTATTGTCAAAGTTGCACTTTAATGTTAAAGAGCCAATGGCTGCTTTCCCTTGTTTTCTGAATTATCTACAATGTTACAACGGTGAATTCTCATCTTAGACGTGACCTAAAGATCCAAAAATGAGGTGTATGTATGTTTTAGTATTTCTATGCAGAAGTAACTCAGTTTATACAAACTCTTGCTCGTGAGACTTTTGTTCTACCAAAATAAAGTATTATGTGATAGTTTAAGGATCGCCTTCAATGGGAATAAAATCCAGGCCGTTGCGTGTTCATGTGAGCTTGCCTGACATCCACTGGTGCCCCCATCGTATTGGCAAAATGTTATACTGCCTTGTTTGTTATGTATGTTTTCAATAAAGCTTGTTAAAAAAAAAAGGACATCCACAAGTGCCATTGTAAAAGTGGAATTTTTTTAATGTGCCTGGTTTTGTGGATATATTTTACCTCCTGCTACTGCACTGTGACCAGAGGATGTGGAGAAAAATACAGGGCCTGAGGTTACTGCATGTCTAGTAATGTTCCTGTACAGGGACTCGCTGTTTTACCTGACCGGGTCTAATCTACAAGCAGCCGGCCTGTACAGTGTTTCCTCAGATATATAAGATATAAAAGTACAGTATTTCCTCAGATACAGTGCCTTGCGAAAGTATTCGGCCCCCTTGAACTTTGCGACCTTTTGCCACATTTCAGGCTTCAAACATAAAGATATAAAACTGTAATTTTTTGTGAAGAATCAACAACAAGTGGGACACAATCATGAAGTGGAACGAAATTTATTGGATATTTCAAACGTTTTTAACAAATAAAAAACTGAAAAATTGGCCGTGCAAAATTATTCAGCCCCCTTAAGTTAATACTTTGTAGCGCCACCTTTTGCTGCGATTACAGCTGTAAGTCACTTGGGGTATGTCTCTATCAGTTTTGCACATCGAGAGACTGAAATTTTTGCCCATGCCTCCTTGCAAAACAGCTCGAGCTCAGTGAGGTTGGATGGAGAGCATTTGTGAACAGCAGTTTTCAGTTCTTTCCACAGATTCTCAGATGCAGCCAAGCGGCCCATGATCACTCTGGATGAACTGCAGAGATCTACAGCTGAGGTGGGAGACTCTGTCCATAGGACAACAATCAGTCGTATACTGCACAAATCTGGCCTTTATGGAAGAGTGGCAAGAAGAAAGCCATTTCTTAAAGATATCCATAAAAAGTGTTGTTTAAAGTTTGCCACAAGCCACCTGGGAGACACACCAAACATGTGGAAGAAGGTGCTCTGGTCAGATGAAACCAAAATCGAACTTTTTGGCAACAATGCAAAACGTTATGTTTGGCGTAAAAGCAAGACAGCTCATCACCCTGAACACACCATCCCCACTGTCAAACATGGTGGTGGCAGCATCATGGTTTTGGCCTGCTTTTTTTCAGCAGGGACAGGGAAGATGGTTAAAATTGATGGGAAGATGGATGGAGCCACATACAGGACCATTCTGGAAGGAAACCTGATGGAGTCTGCAGAAGACCTGAGACTGGGATGGAGATTTGTCTTCCAACAAGACAATGATCCAAAACATAAAGCAAAATCTACAATGGAATGGTTCACAAATAAACATATCCAGGTGTTAGAATGGCCAAGTCAAAGTCCAGACCTGAATCCAATTGAGAATCTGTGGAAAGAACTGAAAACTGCTGTTCACAAACGCTCTCCATCCAACCTCACTGAGCTCGAGCTGGAAGTGAAGCCTAGTATACATCCATCCATCCATTTCGTGGAATGGGCAAAAATTTCAGTCTCTCGATGTGCAAAACTGATAGACATACTCCAAACGACTTACAGCTGTTATCGCAGCAAAAGGTGACGCTACAAAGTATTAACTTAAGGGGGCTGAATAATTTTGCACGCCCAATTTTTCAGTTTTTTATTTGTTAAAAACGTTTGAAATATCCAATAAATTTCGTTCCACTTCATGATTGTGTCCCACTTGTTGTTGATTCTTCACAAAAAAATACAGTTTTATATCTTTATGTTTGAAGCCTGAAATGTGGCAAAAGGTCGCAAAGTTCAAGGCGGCTGAATACTTTCGCAAGGCACTGTATATAATGGAGTAGAAGCATAAAGCAGAATAGTATTGAAGAAGTCAAGTAAAGTACAAATTCCTGAATACAGCACTTAAGTAATGTAATTATATTCCACTATGCCTTATTAAATACACTGAATAAATAACAGAAATACTGTTTGAAATGTATTCATTGTGTCTTAGCGTGTTAACATTCCAAGAATGAACAATACATACTGTTATGTAATATGCTCTGTCAGCACAACAGCATGCCATCATACCAGATGCACGATTCCTGCCTACTGTCCCACAGAGAAGGGGCTTTTGTGCCACCACATGTTCCTTCCTGACCCAGATAAGTTACAGCATTGGTTTTTCCAGGTAATTCCTTGGTTTGTTAAAGGACATTCTAGTTCCATTTTACATCATATTTAAGCTTCACCACCAGAAGCAGAAGTTAACATTTCACTTCATCTGAGAATCCTACTGAAGAGAAGCTGAGAGAAGATGGCAAAGCTCGCTGTGTGTGTCTCTGTCCTGCTGGTGCTCCTGGTGGCGATGAGTGAAAGCAGTAAGTATGACTTCAACGATAGTTTACTGTACGCTATTATTCACTTCACTAATGAGTTGTTTAGTATGCTACTCTGCCTTTATTCTCTGAAATGTCTGTGATTTTGTTCTTCAAAGAGCCCATGAAGTCTTGCTGCACACAGTACCATCCATCTCCAGTCCCATTCAAAGTGCTGAAATACTACAGAATCCAGGATAACAAACAATACTGCAACATCAAGGCAATAATGTAAGAAATAAATCAACAGGACTTATTATAAAGTACATGTTAACTGTCAGCTTGTCTATTGTATTCATGACTGAACTTCTTCCCCTGTTTTAACGCAGCTTCACAACAGTGCGAAACCGACTCGTGTGTGCCAACCCTGACTCAGAGTGGGTGCAGTATGCCATCGGGTTCTTACCAGAGTAAGTCATTTCTATAATCAACAGATCTCTACACTACAGCCAAATCTCAACAATCTTATGTGAATCTATCGAATGTTTTCCTTTATGTCTTTTCTAAACAGAAAACACTGAGCATTATCCACACTCGTGGAGATCAGCGGAGAAATCTTCTTAAAGACACAAGAATGTATTGTCCTAAATTCAATAAATTTATTTTTGTATTTACTTTAAAGCTAATAAATTGAATATTTTTTTAATAATTTGCTGTGTCTGTGTTGATCTGTTCGATAGCTAGAATGTGTTGGTTTCATAGAAGTTTACCACATTATCATTTCTGTGAACTATTCTGGATGGGAGGCAAGTGGAAGAGTAAAACCAGGCTTGTTAATACTTTACCATTTTAGACTATTTAAGGACATTACTAGAATATACATGGTTCAGCCATAACATTGATTTTGATTTTACCCTTTTGAATTTACTTTTTATTTTATGCCCTCTGAAGTGCACCGTTAGAGCACCCACAATTTCATTGTGCTCCTATTGTGCAATGACAATAAAGTCTATTCTATTCTATCATGCCCACTTGCCTAATATTGTGTACATAGGAGTCAGTGTGGCAGTTGGTTGGCACTTGTGTCTCTTTGACATTCACATTGCATTTTGTGTGAATCCATGCGCTTTCATACTGTCAGGAAGTGTGCAAACGTGTCGACCATTCAGTGAAAAACTAACGTAAAAGGAGTGAAAACTGTGGTCATGAGGACAAGTTGGAGATCATATTTGTACAAATTGAACAGCCGCCCCACTCTTGGTGTGATATCACCACTGAATGGTTCTCTTCATTGAAACCAATATGTAGTGTTTCTCATTTTAGCACAGATTCAGACAAATCTTTTTGAAAAGTGCAAATTGAATTTAACCATTTAAAATATAATAGGTCAGCCTCATTATCAGTGAGCCTTGGGCGTCCATGGCACTGTCACTGGTTCACTGTTTGTCCTTCCTTAGAATACCCAGCAAGACCTGCAACCTGGCAGATGCTCTGACCCAGTCGTCCAGCCATCACAGTAGAGATGAGATGAAATAAGATAAGATTAACCTTCCCTAACAACAGGGAAATCCACACTGTTACAGCAGTAAGGGTATAGAAACAGGCACTCCACATTAGGAATCAAAAGGTAACAGACAAAGTATTATCAATATAAACATAAACAACTGTAGCTATAATAATATATGACTGTATACTAGGCGCCCTGCGATGGGCTGGCGACCTGTCCAGGGTGTACCCCGCCTTTCGCCCGCAGCTGGCTGGGATTGGCTCCAGCCCCTCGTGACCCCGTTTGGGACTATGCGGTTTAGGAAATGGATGGATGGATGTATACTAGGCTACACTTCCAGTTTACTGTAGGTAAATACCTTGTTGCTATTTAAGCCCCCGGGGTGGAAACATTTTGAAACACTTTTCATTGTAACACATTAGGTCATATTTTAACAGCACCGCAAACTAAAGCCGCGGAAAAAACTTTAACCTTAATTTATTGTGCATAGGTTTCATCCAAATGTACCTAATCATGAAGTCTTTATCCATGTAAGACAGTGTAATTCACTGTACCAGCAGTAGGGGGCGGACGTGTTCAACAACACAGGAAGGATTCACTCTATGAATGAGCCGTGGATGTCCGTGCAGAAGAGACTTAGCAGCAGGATGATACAGTATGACTGGTCTGGATATAACTAACTGTCAGCTATAACGAAATATTGGGTGTCGTTGGACCGAACCGCACTTTGGTACTGTTCTGAAACCATGATAAGATGAAGCGATGTGGAGATGCTATGGCTACAAGCTAGCTAACTGAGGCTAACGATTAGCTGTTGTGTTGTGATGAAGAATGACAGCTACAAGAGGAGAGAGGTATGATATAGAAACACAGCAGAGAGCCACAAAATTACCGGTTTTATTACTAACATTGCATTGCATTGCATTCTGGAGACTAATTAATACAGCTTTTATTTCCACGGCATTATGGTTGTATTAATGATAATGAGTGGGTAACAGTAACCAAACCAAAAAGGTTTTCCCCATAAAATTCTGTCCTTAATGGTGTAACGCTGTATTTACATTATTTACATTGATTAGATTCTGTTAAGACATCTACATTAAGACATCTACTGCAGCTTCCAGTTGGTGTTGAAGGTCTTTGCAGAATACAGATATGCAGCATGAACATACACTCAGTTTTGGCCTTTTGGTTTCATTCAAACTGTTTTTCAGCAAGGTGTTTATTGAACTTTGTGATCACTTTGGATGATGTAGTTCGTGCTTTTGTTGACTTGTATTACATTACAATGACAGGTGTTTGTATTATTTTCTCCACCCCATTTACAGGTGCTGGTCATAAAATTAGAATATCATCAAAAAGTTGATTTATTTCACTAATTCCATTCAAAAAGTGAAACTTGTATATCATATTCATTCATTACACACAGACTGATATATTTCAAATGTTTATTTCTTTTAATTGTGATGATTATAACTGACAACTAATGAAAACCCCAAATTCGGTATCTCAGAAAATTAGAATATTACTGAATACCAATACAAAGAAAGGATTTTTAGAAATCTTGGCCAACTGAAAAGTATGAACATGAAAAGTATGAGCATGTACAGCACTCAATACTTAGTTGGGGCCCCTTTTGCCTGAATTACTGCAGCAATGCGGCGTGGCATGGAGTCGATCAGTCTGTGGCACTGCTCAGGTGTTACGAGAGCCCAGGTTGCTCTGATAGTGGCCTTCAGCTCTTCTGCATTGTTGGGTCTGGCATATCGCATCTTCCTCTTCACAATACCCCATAGATTTTCTATGGGGTTAAGGTCAGGCGAGTTTGCTGGCCAATTAAGAACAGGGATACCATGGTCCTTAAACCAGGTACTGGTAGGTTTGGCACTGTGTGCAGGTGCCAAGTCCTGTTGGAAAATGAAATCTGCATCTCCATAAAGTTGGTCAGCAGCAGGAAGCATGAAGTGCTCTAAAACTTCCTGGTATACGGCTGCATTGACCTTGGACCTCAGAAAACACAGTGGCCCAACACCAGCAGATGACATGGCACCCCAAACCATCACTGACTGTGGAAACTTTACACTGGACCTCAAGCAACGTGGATTCTGTGCCTCTCCTCTCTTCCTCCAGACTCTGGGACCCTGATTTCCAAAGGTAATGCAAAATTTACTTTCATCAGAGAACATGACTTTGGACCACTCAGCAGCAGTCCAGTCCTTTTTGTCTTTAGCCCAGGTGAGACGCTTCTGACGCTGTCTGTTGTTCAAGAGTGGCTTGACACAAGGAATGCGACAGCTGAAAACCATGTCTTTCACATGTCTGTGCATAGTGGGTCTTGAAGCACTGACTCCAGCTGCAGTCCACTCTTTGTGAATCTCCCCCACATTTTTGAATCGGTTTTGTTTCACAATCCTCTCCAGGGTGCGGTTATCCCTATTGCTTGTACACTTTTTTCTACCACATCTTTTCCTTCCCTTCGCCTCTCTATTAATGTGCTTGGACACAGAGCTCTGTGAACAGCCAGCCTCTTCTGCAATGACCTTTTGTGTCTTGCCCTCCTTGTGCAAGGTGTCAATGGTGGTCTTTTGGACAACTGTCAGGTCAGCAGTCTTCCCCATGATTGTGTAGCCTACAGAACTAGACTGAGACACCATTTAAAGGCCTTTGCAGGTGTTTTGAGTCAAATAGCTGATTAGAGTGTGGCACCAGGTGTCTTCAATATTGAACCTTTTCACAATATTCTAATTTTCTGAGATACCGAATTTGGGGTTTTCATTGGTTGTCAGTTATAATCATCAAAATTAAAAGAAATAAACATTTGAAATATATCAGTCTGTGTGTAATGAATGGATATAATATACAAGTTTCACTTTTTGAATGGAATTAATGAAATAAATCAACTTTTTGATGATATTCTAATTTTATGACCAGCACCTGTATATAAATGAAACTAGGCTAAATAACAGAAATAGCTCCCTGTTCAATGCAGTACAACTCAACAGCAAAAATATTAATACAGTTGAATCAATGCCTCTCAGAAACTGTTCATAAAGGATGATTGAATGCAGTACTGTTGGATAGACTTAGACTAGTTTTAGCTAGATAGAGTAAACCTCCAACTGAGTGTGTAATGTAATATGTAAAATTTACAGTTTTTAGGTGTAAAATGTGCATGAAAGCAGTGAGGATGGCAACAGCTGGCTGAGGTTCACCCAACCAGACTGAAAAGACTCAAGAGCCATGAAGGAAGAAGGCAGGGCACGGCTTGGAGGTGAGGCTCTGTTTGAGGACCCGGATTTCCCCTCTGATGACACGTCCCTGTTCTCCGACAGCTCCACGCCCATCGCCAGGCTACAGGGTGACATCACCTGGCGACGCCCACAGGTTAGAGCCTGCTTCAAAGGGAAGTGGGAAATCCAGCAGCAAATTAATTGTATCTTTGTCTTGTCATGGGGTTAAATGTTTATCTGATGTTGTTAAGGTCATGTGATTTTTAATATCACTAACATGTTCAAATAAAGAGGGAGTTCTCTATCAGGTATCAATGGTTTTAATATGCTTTTTATTTGTATGTCTTTCATGTTGAAACCCAGCCAAATGATAGCCAGACAAAATACTGTGAGAGGCCATGACTTCCATGTTGACAAATATTTCCACTAATTTTTTTTCCACCCATAAGGCCAAGGGTTGTTGCAAGTTTTCTTCAACTCAGCAGGCCTTCTTTATTTTAATTTCTCACCTCCAGGAGATCTGCAGGTCACCGGCTCTCTTCCCTAACAACATGAACCTGGGTCATGCTAAACAGGGCTTACTAGGAGACTGCTGGTTTCTTTGCGCCTGCACCTTCTTGTTCAAGAACAAGCATCTGCTGAACAAGGTAGAGTGACAACTGCACTAGTGTTTCTATTTTTATTACATCATCTGTGACACTGGCTTTGTACAGAACCACAGCAGATGGTTAGGCTAAGTTACCATGAGTGAGTGTGTGAGTGTGTCATAAACATGTTTTCTGCGTCCTGCACTGCCCTAGTGACATAGTCCTTGACTTTCTATAGATTCTTCCTCCAGATCAACCCCAATGGGGTAACAGCAGGTACAGGGGCTCCTTCCAGTTTCGCTTTTGGCAGCAGGGATTCTGGATAGAGGTGATCATCGACGACCGCCTGCCCTGTATTAATTCCACCCTCTGCTTCTCATGCTGCCACTCCCCAGCTGCCTTCTGGGTGGCCCTGTTGGAGAAGGCCTATGCAAAGTAAGAAGCCTGTAGAATTTCCCTGCCTTAACTCTCAGTTTAACCTATTGTGAACTTTCCTTTTTGACGGATGTTTTTTTGGTGTAAGATTTCATAAACCTTACCATTCACTCCCAACAACATATTCAGTGAAGTTTGGAAATCCTATTTCCTGTTCCTTCATTCATCTCCAGGCTTCATGGCTCATATGAACGACTGTGGGCAGGACAGGTGTCTGAGGCCCTGGTGGACTTGACTGGTGGTCTGGCAGAGCACTGGAGCCTGAGAGACTTTAGTTTAGAGGAGCAGAAACAAGAACAAGACAGCGATCAGGACAGGAGGAGAATGCTTGACCTGAACCTTCTGTACTCTGTGAAAGATGATTGTGCGCTCAGCTGCTCCACTCACAGCAGTGCTGGAGGTCAGAAACGTGTTTCTTTGCAGTTAAAAGTGATTGTGTCGTCCCCTGTCACATCATCTGATGATGCGTTTGTCTGTTTTAGGTGCCAGTGAGCAGGGTCAATACCATGCTCTGACTGTCATGGAATGGTTGGATGTGAGCACAGTGTCAGGGAGTGAAGTACGCTTGCTGAGGATCAGAAACCCCTGGGGGAGATGCTGCTGGGGAGGGACCTGGATAGGGAGGTAATTCTCATTGGCAAATATCAAACCTAGCGTGGGGAAGTTCAGACATTCAATCTTTCTACATTTGTCTCTGCAGTGGTGCAGGCTGGAGCTCTGTTGACCCTGTTTGTGCATCAGACCTACAAGCCAGGGCGGCCGAGGGCGAGTTCTGGTTGGATGAGGCTGAATTCATGTCTCAGTTTGATGATGTCACAGTGGGATATCCTATCAGTGAGGAGGGACACCTAAAGAACATTTATACAGGTAATGTCCTTATTTTGTTAGAGGGTTTTCTACCTTTACTCTCTGATACTGACATCTGTAGCACCATTTTTACCCTGACAACTCTCCTCTCTCACAGGGAATCTGCTGGAACACAGCCATCAGCTGGCGGGCCGGTGGGTTAAAGGGCACTCTGCTGGTGGTAACCGAAACAGTAGCAGTTATGGTACTAACCCCAAGTTTTGGCTCAAAGTGTGTGAGCGAGGAGAGGTACTGGTGTCTCTGTTGCAGCAGAGAAAATGGAGAAACATGGAGAAATGCGCACAAATGCCAGTTGAGGACAGCAAAAACACAAAGCACCAGCACTACCAGGCTGTCGCTCTACACATGTGGAAGGTCTGTGCCATCGCTAACATGAAGACACATGTGTCTTTGTCTCCAACTTTGTACGACTTTGTTTGAATTTTCCTGTCACCAGGTGGAGAAGAAGCGTTTTAATCTGAGCCGGATGTTAAATAAACCTCCTTGTGCTTCTACTCACTGCCACGCCTACGAGAGAGAGGTGGTTTTCCACGAGCAGCTGGAGCCCGGATACTACCTACTGATCCCCAGCACCTACCAGCCAGGAGCTGAGGCTCAATTTCTCATCAGGGTCTTTTCCTCCTCTTCTACATCCTTCAGGCATGCAACATTACCAAGCTCATCTTCTCAAGGCATCAGGCTGTGTTTGCTTCTTATGTTAAATTTTGCATTTTATATTTTCAAAATATTCAGGTATATTCACAGATGGTTTTTAATGTTGTTTCCTGCAAAATTAACAGAACTCAATGTTAAACAATATTTTACCTTTAAGAAATATATAAGGGATGTCAAAGAACAACATTGTACGTAACCAGTAAACAGGCTAAATCCAAAGCACAGTATTAACCACCTACCTTTTTCTAAAATCAAAACAAAACTGCAGTTCAAACAACTTTGTGTTGTCTTTGACATAACTGAAACACTATTACAGTATCAAAAAATATTGTTTAATGGTATGCTGTACACGTTCATACTCAGATTATTAATTTGAGATTATCTTGATGACTTTTGTTACAAATGAAATAGTGCCATCTGCTGGTCAAATTGAAAAACAAATTAAAAAAAAAATCAGCTAAACCTTTTGAATGCACCAGTCAGTTCCTGCTGTTGCACTACAGAATTTCCCTAAGATGGATTCTCCTACTGTCATGATTTTGCCATGCAAAGTGTTGTGATTGTATAAGTAGTTATGTTTCTAGTTGAATTATTTATGACATAGCAATATCTGTGTTTTGCTCAGTGCCATGAAAAGCCCAGCACCCTCACTGCCATTAACAACAGATGGAGAATGGGAGACCAGTCACTTCCGGGGCTCGTGGGTGGAAGGAGCGACGGCTGGAGGAAGCAGGAACTTCATGTCTCACTGGCAGAACCCCTGCTTCCACTTTACAGTGTGCGACCACTCAGGAGTGACATCAGGAGTTAATGTCAGGATCACCCTGCACCAGAGCCGCCCTTACACTGATCTGCACCCTATTGGCTTCCACATTTATAAGGTCAATGAGACGTTAAAGAGCCCATGGCATGCTCATTTCCAGCCATTTAATGCTTAATCTTGGGTACCTCTAGATTAGCTTTGCACCCATCATAACTCCAAATAGCCTGTAATTATTTCAGAATGAAAAGCCTGAGAGCTTCCCCTAACCTGAATCCTAACACTATCCTAACCAAAACCACTGAGGGGGTCTCTACATGAAACTGTGTTTTCATCACAGGAAACACGTCGATAGGGAAGCACTTTTCGATACAAGACCGGTCAGGAGGCCAGGACAATGTGTAAACAATGTCGATGGGGAAGCACTTTTCGATACAAGACCAGTCAGGAGGCCAGGACAATGTGTAAACAAAAAACACTGACAGATAAGCTACGTTTTGACAGTGATGATACCTCAAACCTACCTGACATGTTTGAGCCAGAATATGGACAGGACAACAAATTGCAGCAGTATTAATTAATTTGAATTTCTCCTCCATAGATAGGTAAACACCGGTATATGTACTGATGAAAAGAGATGTGTAACACTCTAAACAAAGCGGGTAATTGAGAAACCATATATTTTAAGTGGTGTAATACAAACATAGTAATTGTGACCATATACTGCACCCAGGTACCAGAAGGGGTGTCTACACAGATGTTACTCAGGGACGAGGATCCCGTGGCCAGCTGTGTTCCCCACTGTTACACCCAGGATGTCAGTCTGGCCTGCTGTCTTCCTCCTGGAGCATACACCATATTACCATCCACTTATGAGCCTGACTGCTCTGCAGACTTCACCCTCAGCTTGGCTCGCAGAATACACAGGTTGGCTCAGAATGTTATTATGCAGGTAACCGCAGTAGCTTCACTTATCATTATTATAAGGATGCGTATCTTTTTCAGGAAGGTGTTGAAAAGCCAGGAGAGACTGGGGAGAACCATTCAGGAGGTTTGTATGGCATAGTGCTGATAAAGACAAAATTATTCAGCAGCAATTCTGATGTCTGATGAATTACTTATTAATTAAATTTTCTGACATAGAGTAAACATTTTTATTATTGAAAAAAATATCTTCTGATTTGTCTACTGTGAAAATAGTTGTTAGTTGCAGCCCTAGTACAGTTACATTATGATAAAGAAACTTTGTGGTTACTTCCTCTCACTATTTTGCTTCCTGCAAAGTTCAGCAATGGTTATGTTTAATGGAAAGAGAACATTAGGATCAGAGACACAGCTGAAGCTTGATACCAAGTCCTTCCTCTGTGGCAGTGCATTGCAACAAATTGCATGTGTGCATAGCTTATATCCTTATTTTAAAGTCTGTGATTGTGGTCAGAAGATGGCAGCACTGAATGACCCCTCTGTCTTGCTTTGTCTCTCATTGCGACAGGTTTCTCACATCTCTGTGATGCAAAGCTAGTTCTCTAGGACTGTTCCTTCTCTACTGGTTCGTCAGCTCATCTCCCTGTGCCTCTTGGCCCATGATGAAAGAACCAGTTCTCCCACCATGGAGGCTTTGTGGGTGGGTGGGTGTGCACCATGAGTGGCTGAGAAGGCAGGCAGATGAAGGGGTTTAGTGGAAGGGTGGTGTCGGGAATACTGGAAACCCCTTTGTCCTGAATCAGCGATTAGGACATCAGAGGTTGTTGGTGGGCTGGGCTGCTAATGAAGTATGACGGGGATTGCTGGTGTAAACAAACAGCCGCCACTGAAGAAGGCCGCCACTGCTCTTGCTCATTCACTCACTGGTTCGCCTGTCGGCCCAGAACAAAGGGTCCTCTCATGAAGGTCTTTACTGAGTGAGGGGGCAAGGAGATGGTCGCTGATAGAAGAGCCAGCCAAACCACACCATACTGTGCCATACCATGCCAGCACTTCTCTCCTATCCCTCATCCCCAGACAGTCTGCTTCTTATCTAGCTTGTACTGTTTGTCTATAAACACAGACACAGGGTTTTCCTTCATCCCTCATTTCCACATCTGCACACATCCTGACTAGCAATAAAGTCAGGCTGAATTCTGGCCTAACCCCAGCTCCCTTTTTGCCCCCCAAACTCTGTCCACAACTCTGCTCAGACCTGAACAGAGCCACTTTTTTTTTTGAAGTGACCACAAAAGCAGATGACAAGTGGACAGATGAAAGGGATGAAAGCAGGGATGCAGCCCTTCAGAAGAAGCCGGTTCAAATGAAGAAGCTGCCTGGCCTTGTTGTGGTGAGGCTGCGAATGTGTCGTGGTGTGTCTGCCTGCTGGTACCCATGTTTCTGTGTGCTGAAGTCACAGGATTTCTAATTATTGATTGGAATCGGAGTGAACAGAACTATAATTAACTGATCTGTGTGGTACTGTGTTTCGGCTGTATGAGATGTGATGAATAAAATAAACTATAACATGATGCTAACGTGTCCCCTATGTTTGGCGTGATTTAGATTTTATATGTGCAGCATAAGCATTACATCAGGCATGCTGAAGGTGATTACACTGGGTGAAAGCTTTTGAGCTCTCCGCGCTCATCTCCACGACCAGTACACGGCGTGCGCGTACACGTGGGCCCGCTGTGCGCGCGCCGCCATTTCTGCGGAATTTAGTAAACTGCTGTGGTCGGTCTCTGAAAGGCTCCCACCTGGAAAATAATGAACAACAAATTTGACGCGTAAGTAATCCAAAGTTTTTGAGGAATATGTGCCAGAGATCGGTCTCCCCCATCACGGCGGAAAATCCACTGGGGACAGTAACGTTAACGTAAATGAAAGTTGTTTCGGTGCGTGTGAAGAGGTGTGTCAGCTTTATTACATGGTCTTGTATGTTGTGTGTACTTAAAACGCGAGAACGAGGTCTACATATACAAATAGTATTTAAAACGAAAGCAAATAAAAATAGAGCGTAAGGTGTGATGTTATTATAGGCAGTGTGCTGGGCATTAGCTGTAGCTTAGCCTTAAACAAGGTCGACAGGCCCCGAGGCCTCGGTGTGGTAGTTGTAGAGAGGCGGGGACGGCGCGCGCAGACTCGGACCAAACTAGACTCCCATTGCCCAAACGTACGAGCAGGCAGTTAGCAGCGTGTTGTGAGCTATGCACGGTAGGAGCAGTTGAAGTGGAGCTGTGCACGTGTCCATCATAATAATATACCTATTTGTAGTCCACAGTTAAAAAAAACAAAACATACTACGCAGAGTTATCAGTTTATTAAGTGCATTTAGCTAAGACTAATGCAGTATAATGTTGTTTTTCTTGAAAGGGTTTGTGATATTTTGTCTACAGTGACGTACACTAAATATTAAAAATAACTGTCAGTTTAACAGAACAGCTCAACAGCCTCCCAGGTCATCATACATTTAACACGTTACATTAACAAGTTTATATAAAAACGGGCCTTTAAAACTGTTAATGAACAGAGAATATGTTACACTGTTGTATTAAACTTCAGTAGTTATAGTAAGGTGTAGGCTGCATAATAAACTGCAAGTCCTCCCTTAATTTAAACATTCATTACGTAAACATTTTCGTTTTGCTGCTTGTTTCCATCAAATCTAGTCTGAAAGATGATGACAGTGGAGACCATGACCAGGACCAGGGTTCACCGAAAGATGGTGAGAAAGAAAAAACTGAGGATGAGGAGAAGGAACAGAATACTTCTAAGAAAAAGGTGAGACTATTAAAAAGTGACTTGTGTTTCCAGCTGTTACGTTTAGTTTGTGTGGCTCCTCACTGTTTCATTATTGGCAGATGGTGGTGCCAGGAGCAGGAGAGCACCCTCTTCAGTACAACTACACCTTCTGGTACTCCAGACGCACTCCAGGGAGACCAGCCAGCACTCAGAGCTATGAACAGAACATCAAACAGATTGGCAGCTTCGCATCAGTACGTCACTCCTCATGACCTTTTTACAGAGAGCAAACTGACTGTTTGTCACCTTAGCCCTAAGGCTCATGCTGACTCATTCTCCCAGAGTTATTGATGTATTCATTTTTTTTTTTTTTTTTTGTCCTTTCAAAGGTGGAGCAGTTTTGGCGATTTTATAGTCACATGATCCGGCCAGGCGACCTGACAGGCCATAGTGATTTCCACCTCTTCAAAGAGGGTATTAAACCCATGTGGGAAGTGAGTACACATTTGCTGAGATCTTGTACACCAAAGACCACATCTTGTAAATCTTGATTTTCTTCTTCTTCTTATTATTATTATTATTATTATTTTTTGAAACAAGAGACTCATTCTGAAACTCTACATGTGTGGTGTTTAGGATGATGCCAATAAGATGGGTGGTAAGTGGATCATCCGTCTGAGGAAAGGCCTAGCATCTCGGTGCTGGGAGAATCTGATCCTGGCCATGCTGGGAGAGCAGTTCATGGTGGGAGAGGAGATCTGTGGGGCTGTGGTGTCTGTACGCTTCCAGGTAAACCCACCTGTTGCATGTAATCAGGCACTGCCTACTTTAACCCTAGTGGGAGAATTCCCAAACTTCCTTATGGCCAATCTGCTCCTGGGCTCAGACTTCCCTTCATGTTTTTTCCCCAGGAGGACATCATCTCCATCTGGAACAAAACAGCCAGCGACCAGGCGACCACTGCCCGCATCAGAGATACCCTGCGCAGAGTCCTCAACCTGCCTCCCAACACCATCATGGAGTACAAGACACACACAGACAGCATTAAGTATGTATGTCTCTTCATTTTATTATTTCCTTTCCAACCTCTCTCTCTCTCACACACATATAATTGTATGCATGCTCACAAACGTAACATTTTTTCATGCAGAGGGTAATATGGGATTACTCTAACTGTAATGCATTAGTTTTGCTACAACAACCAGAATCCTTTAAAACTGTGCTAAACTGATCAGATGAAGTTTTGATAATTAAGAAATTTGGTTTGTTCAAGCTTCTCAAATGTGATTATTCACTACTTCTCTCTGTTTTTGCTATTGTAAATTAAGTCTCTTTGGGTTTTAGACTGTTGGTTGTTTAATAAGCAAAAGCTGCAGCATTGCTTCAAAGTTCTACACTATTTTAATTATAATTAAATGTTTCATTACAACATTCACAGCTTTTCCCTAGTGTCTATGTTATAACAGAAAAGTACATAAAATACAATATGTAACTTTATCATACTTCAAGTTAGGGCTGATTGATAAACCGTTTTGCTTCAGATTGTTCAGTGCATCTAACTGAACAGACAACAGAGGATTCGGGACCAGAGCTCCCACTGAGTTCAGTACAAACACCAGTCAAGTTTTACAGCATAAGAGGAAGACAGAAGGAAGCTTGTCTGAGTTTATTTGATGTTGTATAGCTTGGTTTTCTGCTCTGGTTTCATCAAAAATTCTAATGCACTACTCAGTCTGAGCTGCAGAATTTTATGAATGAAGGAGGAAAATGTGCCTGTTCTGTATTTACTGCTGTACAGTTGGAATTCTAATCACACTCTCTAACCTACAGTAAAAATAACCAGTTATACAAAGGAAAGTGAAAAATAGAAATGCAGTTTAATACAAAGCAAGTTGAACAGCAGTAAACACAACCCTTGGTATGTGTGTGAGGATGTTAGGTGTGTCTACCTATAATGTCATTTACAGTAAAGGTTGCATGCAGTCAGTAATACAGAAGAAAAATGGAAAAAAAACATATCTAAACAGTTTCTGTATGTTTTTTATGAATTATGATTTACTGCACCCTTCTTTGCTTGCAGAGCCTGGGAAGACTTCCATGGGCTGGTGAATGCTAACAGCGGACGCTAGGCCCTCACAAAGAAAACCTCCGCCAGGGTAACACAAAAGTGTTTAGTGAAATTGTTTTTCTTTGACATACTTTAAATCGTGCTAATGTTGTTTATCTCTGTTTGTGGTGTGCAGGTGTGTGTATGTGTGATGTGTAGAGGGATGACAAGTCCAGGGGGAGGATACCCCCGCGTGGGTTGGCACTGTGTAATATGAAGACAGAGCAAAAGTCAGGAAGAGAGGTGAGAAGACATTCCTCGTTTGGGTCAAAGTGGAAGTGAACAGAAGAGCCTTTCAGCAGAACACTGCACCAAGCTGAAGAGAGAAATGTGAGGGATTTTTAGTCAACCAGATGAGAATGAAGCCTCCAGTTTGTGGGGAAAAATATTTTATTGCAAGGTGTCATATCTGTTAACTTGCCACAAGAGAGGATGGAGTGTGTGTCTGGTGTTTGCTGATCTGGTCATTAGCAGCACTTAAGTGTTCTTAACAAAAAAACAGAAACAATCAAGTTAAGAATACAAGATATGATTTTATTGCTTAACATCACACTTCTGCCGGTAAAATCGGCTTGTGTTATTCTGTTTTATTGGGACTCAGACAGGGTTGGAGGTAGATGTTATTTTATGACAATACTGTATTTACAGTTCCTCTGCTCATTTCAAACTACAATAATTACTATTATGTGTACAATATATTTGTAAATGCAGTCCTCTTCAAATATTACATAACTGAATTGGCAGTGATTCTCTATCTTTGACCTGGAAATTGAATCCCAAAGGACAAGGATCATCTTGTGTTGGGCAGAAGGTTGCATAATAGGTCAAAATGGACTGTCCAGCTGCCTAGGTCACTGTACCTGGCCTTGTGCCCAGCCTGACCAGATTTCCCTTCTGTCTGTTTTGTCTGTTTATGCCTATAAAGAATCCAAGCTGTGGGTTGCTTTAATGTCCTCAACAGAGGTGTACAGGAGTCCTGAAACTCTGACCATTGCTCCTTTCTGATTTTGTAGTAACAGAAATGAAACTGTGCCTAGGGTCTGTTACAGTTTTCTTCAATTCCTTGGGTGCATTTCTTTGGAACCATGTCTGGAGAGCACCTATAGTTTGTATAAAATAAAATTAAATTAAAAAAAAAAAACTAAAGGTGATTGTGTGTGTCAGTGTCAGAAGTGAAGAAACACCATTGGACATGCACCTGAAGGATTATAGCAATAAGTGTCAAATACGCATCCCTGATACAGCTGCATCATTGTAGTTTTTTTCCTAAGTGGACCTGAACAGAATCTGAGTAGACGTGTATGAAAGCAAGGTTCTGCTCTTTTTAATGCTACATACGGTTAAGGGGACACGGTGCGGTCTATTGTGCCATGCTGTGTGTGATGTGGCTGTTGTGGCTCAGTAGTTTTACTCCACTTGTGACTTGTCTCCTAGTGACGATGGGTCCTTTTCTCTGATCAGCTCATTTCAAAGAACATGTGATTCTATAGAAAAATAATCAGAAAAGGTGAGTTTGTAGTGAAGGAATTTAATCAGTGGTGAAATGTGAGATTTTTGTAGTTCTAATCAATACAGTTTGAGGGAAACTTGAACTTTTTACTCCATGATCTTGGTGGACACAGTAGCTACTTTGAAGATTTTTTATACTTAACGTGGATATGATGCAATGTGTTATGAAATACAATTATAACAACAAATTTTTATATAATCAATTCCCCTTACATAGACAAACTGCTACAGTAAAGAGCTATTTAAAGGCATCAGTGATAAACTAATATCTGTGATGGGACTTTTTATACTTCAATTATCTTTTGCAGACATCTACATTCTACTACTGCAAGATATTACTTTTATTGTAGTATTTTATATTTTAGCAGTGCGATAACACAAGGTTGGCATACTCGTTAAAAAATGAATTTAATTACACAACTTGGTTTCCTTCAAGAATGATAGTAGAAATTGCTATGCTTACCAACAGGAAGGTGGCTGCCAGCAGCAGCAGTTTAGTGTCTGATTCTATACTCGGTGGCACTGGGAGAGTGAAAAAGATTTTAAAATGACACTAATACAAAATGCCAATGCAGTAGGCCTATAAAGACTGAGTACTTCATAGGCAGACTGATAGAATTAAAAACATGTTTCCAAAATGTGGGGTCAAACTAAAGTTGAATAAAGACATTTTTGGAACAATTAAAAAACAGAGACTACTCCAGTAAAGGAAAAGATGAGCTTTAATGGGAGAAAAGAGTTTATCATGCTACTTTCAAAAGCAGAGTCTTGTTTCTTTTGTATTTAAAGGATAAAGCCAGTCATTTTTTCATATTAACAGTATTGTAAGCAATCCTCATGCAGAGACTAACACCAACAGTGATTTATCCTTTCTCATGATTAATGTCTGTCAGTCTCTCAGTCCTTCAGCTTATTCTTCTTTGCCATAGACCTCCATTCAAAACCAATTAAAAACACATTGGGGAGACACACCACTGCACTGGGTGACATGTTTCCTCATTATGAAACACCAGACCCTGATATTTGTTAAGAATATGCAGAAATGCCGTGTACAGGCCCTTGACTCTTGCTTACTTCAGAGTTGTATAAAGTTGTGGCCGTTCAGAACCTTTGGAGCAACATTTTTAATAAAATACCAAGGTCTTGTCACCCAGTACAGCGGTGTGTTTCCCTGAAGTGTTTTTGAACAATGGAGGTCTGTGGCACAGACAAATAATCAATTTCTGACAGATTGACAGTCATTACTCATGAGTAGAGGCAAATCACTGTTGGTTTTAGTCTCTGTGGGGTGTTGGAAATACTGCTAATATAGAAAATGACTGGCCTTGTCCTTTAAACTCTTACAGAACAAAACAGGCCTTTTTCATTATAATAATATTTCAATAACAGAAATACAGGGGAAAAAAAAAACTCACCCTCTAACCCAAAATATTCATGGTCCATGTTACACTCATCGTTGAAGCCCGGCCATTTCTTCCATATTGTGCCTATTTTCTCACCAATGTCAGAGACAATCTAGTGGATGATTAAAAGCAAAAAAAATATGGAGTGAAACACACCTGTGGCAACTCATTTTATTTGGGGTTGCTTAAGTATTAATTACCTGAAATTGCTGGTTGGAGACACAGCGGCACGGACAGCAGGAGCCCTGGATTCTGAGTGCTGACGTTCCTTCAGAATCACACACTTCCAAAAGAGGGGTGAACATGCTCCACCTGGCAACACACAAGGGTTTTACACACTTACTTTCACACTCATACAGTAAGCAACCTGGAGGATACAGTGGCCAGTACTTCATACACAGTACAGCCCCGCTTTGAGCACCACAAACAAAAGTCATTCACTGCTGTATTTGGATAAGCATCTCAAATCTCAGAGACAAATATCCCAAAACTTGGTCAGATATCAAACCAAAATGGTTTGCATGGCTAGATTGCACTAGGAGGTAACTGAGTGGGATCTTTTATTTTGTTAAATTGTGACTTTGTTTATTACACTGAACTGAAAAAAGCACTTGAAGTATTAGAAGCAAAAGCACACATGTAGGCTTTACCCCAGAATGTTATCCATCCATCCACTATCCATCCTGAAGAGGGTCTTGGGGGGCTGGAGCCAATCCCAGCTGACACTGGGCAAGAGGCGGGGTCCACCCTGGACAGATCGCTGGTCTGTCACAGGGCTCCCAGACTGTTATGTATTGTTTGAATATATTATATTGCTAGAGAATTAATTCTGATTCCTTATGTTTAAGCAGCTTATGTTGTAGCTAGTTAGGTTGGAGCTAATTACCTAAAACAATATTCTATAGGCTGATCATTTGTTTTGTTATATTAAAATCTTAAATAATCTGCAAAGGAGCTATAGATATTAAATATAAAATAGAGCATTTCCCTCTAAGATGCAGTGGAGCAGAAGTAAAAATAGCTTGTAACAGAAATACTTTGTGAAGTACAAGCACCTCCAAAGTGAATTTACAAAAGTACGGTACCTGAGTAACAACAATCAAACCAGATTCAGATTGCCCCACCTCTGGCATACAGTGCCAATGAGTTGTTTCTGAGCTGTGTAGGCCCTCATCTCCATCAGGCAGCAGCCGAGGCAGCAGGCATCCACCCTAAAGGGCCTTTCAAAGTAAAAGACCTGGTGGCCCTGATGGTCGAAGCCCCGCAAGGAACAAGCCCGAGCTGGACCACAACACTGGAGGCACACACATGAACTCTCTGACAGGAGGGAGAGATTAAGGAGAGACTGAGAACACACTGAACAACATCAGCATTCACTCTGCCTTCATAGGAGATGCAGGTAAGATACATTCAGCTGAACATGTTTCGGTACCTTCCACGGCCACAAATAACTGCGACCTGCTAACCCCTGTGGCGATGCTGTAGATCCTCCTCGGAACACAGTGTGGACCTACAATAAGGAAACATTAATTAAATCTCTGCACTAGAAGTGTCCCCTTTTACACACAGAAACACACATACATTTATATTTCTTACCTTGCAGCGCTGGTCTAGCAGTAATATGAATCTGACTGACGGGTTCCATCATAGATGCAAAGTCTGGTCTCGCTGCACCTCTGGACCTCTGCTCCTCCACGCCTGGCCTGTTAAGTTTTTCTGGTGGATGTATGTAGCATGGAGCCAGACCTGAAAGCTGCTCCTCAGTTTCCTGGGCAGGAGGCATTGTGTGGGGTTTATGTTCATGTGAGTGACTGTGACACTCACATGAGTGCCCACAGCGGTTCTGGAAAGCTCTGAAGATCATCTGGATGTGCTTTTCTCGCTCCAGTCCACCAAAGGGAAGAGGCTGGTTGGTTACCACCGACATGGTAAAAACTGAAAATATATGATGTGAAAAGCTGTGATTTCCTTTTTAGGCTTAGCGTTAGTTGAGCAGGTCAGACAATAAACTATACTTTGTGTATCTGGTGTGTATGCAATATGGGTCAGATTTGTTTAGATGTACTTAGCTAGGTACCAGATCAGTGTGATTCAGTTAGTCGGGATTACATGCAGGTAGAGAGAAAGTCACTGTTTTTACATAGTTCCCATTTTAAGCAACAATCTTATCTTAATCATGTAGTGGAGGGGGAGGTGTTTATTGGAAGCTCCTGGATTAACGCACTGGCTCCCAAACTTTTTTTGTGTGTGAGACCCTTAAATACAAAGTGTTGGCCTGAGGTGCAAAGTGTTTTTACCTTCTCTAACTGGTTCATGTGAATCATTTTAAGGTGCCTGAAAAGGTAAAACCACAGTTAATGGACTTGAAGGTTCATTATTTAAAATGGAAATAGCAGTTGGACAAAGGATCCACTGAAAGTATAGCACTAGAAATTATTAGAGAAAAGTCTAGAATAATCTATAGAACTTTAGACAGTGAAAATCTGGAAATCACCTTATGACCTGTGACTTCTTATGGGTGAAAACTCCTGGACCAGATAATCACAAAAATAACTGAGCAGTCTTTTATTTTGAAACTCTTCAGAATAAAGTGGTTTTTAAAAATGAAGACACCCTATTTAAAGTTTTTAATTTTAAAGTTAAATAAATGTGAAAATAATAATAAAAAAACACAAACACAATGATTAATCTTCCTCATGTTGGCCCTCTGTCATCAACATCCTGTTCTCAGTAAGTGATTTGATCCCAACAGCCAGCCTCAGCTCCTTTTTATTCACATCACACACACACACAGTCTTGTCGCCTAGTTTGGTTTCCTTTTGCAGCTACATGCAACACTGCATATTCGTCCACAACAAAGATCCTTGTAGTACCATAATGTAGCTCTGCTTTACATATATCTAGTATAGACTGCGAAAAGATTACAACAGGTGCTCAAATGGTGAAAGTTTTCCTCCAAAACTTACTTTGTCTGATGTAACAGAACATAAGAGAAAACAGTGCAATAGAACATTAAGTCTTTTGCTTACCATGTGAGTTCATCCTCCAAGCACCTGCACACTCTGATAATCTAACTGTGAGTAGGAAGATACCAGACAAACACTGGTGACTTGTCATAATCGGGAGAAGTAAAGCACCAACCTCCTCCAACCTCCTCTGTGTGTTTGTGTAAATACTCACGTAGTAATGTTTGGTTTTGTGAGTGAGTGTGTGTGTGTGTGTTTTTGATCTCACTCCTGTCCCCCAGCTCTGTTTCCATCCCAACCAGCCGGATCTGCCTTTTGTTCTGTTAGAAAGGCACCATTCAGCCATGTAATTGAAATCCTGAATCCAGAGGTGGGGGGCTGAATAGTGGGGTCTGTTTCTTGGGGGTTGGGGGTCAGTTTCCCCAAAACATACCTTGAAAAAGGTGCCATTATGTAGGATAAAAACATTTTTGAGATAGTCAGTTGTCTGATCACAAGATTATAATTATATTTTTAAAATCATTCATTTAGAAGATTTGACAGTAAATGACTTCAGTTGTGTACAGTGTCTCATGTCTCAAAGAGTAAACCTGCAGCAAACACTGTGTAGCAACAATAACAGCTACTAAAATTGCTCTTTGACACCAGATTGCATTATTATGGATCAAGTGTGGCATCCACACAAATGCAGTGGCTCTTTTATCATCATGAACAGGCTCGTTTGACTTAACCTCTGTGACAGCGCACACATCCACATTGGCACCGGTGACACTGGTGCAGTAAAAGCATACAGCTGTATTGTCTTCATTCTCTGTGTCCCAGTCTTCAGTGAAAGATCACTGACAGACACAGTCAGATTTCCACTTTGTTTAAAAGGATGGAGTCTGATGATTTCCTTCTTGGTTCATCCCTGGAACTGTGCTCCTATCCCACTCTTACTTCAGAGAGATTGATTTGATGAAGGGGCATACTTCTTTGGATCTCCAAGGAAAGGTAAGGATGGAGGCTGGTTGAAATGGGCCATCAGGAAGATCCCAATAGTGCCAATAAAAAACAACAAAGACATGAAAATAAAGCAGACCCTGTCAATGACCCTGGCAACCAGGAACCACTCTTCATTCAACTGTGATAAAAATAAAAATAAAAATTAATTTAAGAAATTATCACTGAAGTGATTTTAAACCTGGGAAGGTGAATATGTATATGTATAAATATAGAACTCACATTCTGGAAGTTGTTCTGTTGCCTTGCGGTCTCAGCTATGTGTTTACAGGAGGCCACACACTGCTTCAGCTCTGGAGAGGCCCTTGCCAGGCTGATGCTCAGCTGTTCAGCTGTGCCCGCCTCCAACCCATCATCTGGCATCAAAATAGAGCAGATATTCAGGCAGTTACAAGGGAATGCACCCTTACACAGACAAGCTCATTTAAATACTTACGTAGCTTCTCTAATACTGATTTAATCAATCCATCTCTTTCTTTCAGTCTGGCAAACATGAGCTCAGACCGAGCTGTTTTTATTATGTACTCCTCTGACTTAGTGATGAGGGTCATGGAGCTGCGGCGTCGACAAGGAACCAGGTGCACACCATTCCTGTCTTTAGCCAGAGTTTCGCTGTTTCCAATTTTTGAGGTGTTGATATTGTTTGGTGTCCAGGGTCGCATCTGCATCCTCAGCAGTCGAGGCAGGATGTTTAAGAAGATCTGAAAACAACATGTCAGAGGGTAATCCAGTGGTAAATAGATTCATGGTGACTTCACAGTATGTTCATTCAGCAGCTGCTTAACAGAAATTCAATTGATAAAAGACATGATCTGGCTGCACACTCACCCTTCGGACTTTGTTTGTCATTTTGTGAGTGTTTGGGGTTCTCAGGGAAACATTGAGGACTATCACAGAGTTCATCACTACCATGGTGGTCACTGACATCACAAACATCAGATACCTGCAGCCCAAGGTTCATAAATCACATCAGCACTGTCTCCAATTACTCATTTACCATCGATCACTCTTCAGGAGTTGAATTGAAGTTCTGACCTAAAATCTCAGCATAATGCACATAAACTTACTTTGCAATAAGAGGCACCCCCAGTGAAGTCTCTGGAACCTTCTTGGCAATAAGAAAGAGGAACACAGTCTGGCCCAGAAGAGTGGCAATAGACATGGTGCACTTCTGACCACCAGCTGCAAAAACCAAACCACAAACCAATATTTACTCAGACTGGTGAGGTTCGGTGAAGTCATGAAAACAAAACAACTAGAAAAGATCATTTCTGGAGAAATTACATTGTGTGATCATTGAGAAGTTGCTGAGTGTTGAAATATTAGAGCATTTAAAGAAGTATAAGTGGAACCAAACAAAAAACAGAGTTGACTGAAAGAAATGTACAAAACAAAAAGAAGCTAAATGCAGAAAAAAGTTAAAAGAAAAAATAAGGCACAGAAAGGGAAGGAAGGAAAATAGGAAAAAACAAAGCAGCAAGGAGGATGGAAAGAAAGAAAGGAGAAAAGAATATAAAATTAAAGAATGAAATAAAGAAGAATGAAAGGATGGTAAGAAGGCATGGAGGTCAGAGGAAAGATATAAAGGAAACAAAGAAGGAAGTGCGATTGAGCAGGTGTATCATTAACTGTTTCATCCTTAAGCAACAGCCCAGCCAACCTTGAAAGAATTACTGAAAAAAACAAGTTCTATCAAAATAAATCTCTTCACTATGGGTGGTAGAAGGCTTCAACAAACACGCTGATACCCTATATGTGAAGATATTCTATAAAATAAAGGATTTATCACAAGTTACAAACCACTGTCATCTGAGAGTTGGATGAGAAGTTCTGGGCACCTCTTACAAAGGGACTGAATGAAAGACTTAGACAGCGTTTTTGCCTGTGGCGATCAAAAACCGTATATCCTGTCACAATATGAATTACAGTTCCTGAATCCTGGCAAGTGTTTCTATGTTTTCTATGTATAAACTGTTTATGAAAGTTAAAACCTGATACTATAAAAGAAGAAAACAGACAACACTTTAGGCTCTACCAATAAAACCGGTGGAGAAGCTGAAAGTTGACAAAAAGTTGAATAACATAAAAAGTAATAGCCTCAAAATCCTTAAGAAGACACATGTTTTAAAGTTTGAACAAAGTTTCTAGCCCAAAGCATCTAGAAGTAGATAGGGACCGGAGAAAAGTAACATGACCAAAAGTTTATGAACGTATGATAACAATAGTTAGCAGAGCTGCTGACTCAGCTCTCCCAACTAATGACTGAACTGGTGAAAGCTTCAGTAAAGAAGCTAGACCTCTGTTTTATGGAACTGACAGGTCAAGGTCTGCAGAAGAGTCCTGACCACTCAATTTAGGTTTTAACAGACATATAGTGGGCCAAGACCTTTGGCAGGTAAGAAGAACACAAGCAGGCAGAGGGAGGAGAAGAGCACACAGGGAGCGATGATGTTGATGATGTAGAAGAGGGGCTTTCTCTGGATGATGAAGAAGAAGACTATCTCCTGGTATTCCAGGTCATCTTTAGTGTACTTAGTGTTGATCATCCTTTTGGCTGGCATGACTTTGATGGCCCACTCTCCATTCTCTAACAACAAAAGCAAAATTTCGTTCAAATTAGATTTAAAAAAAGCATTTTATTGCACTGTAGATAACTGTAGTATTGGTTTTAGTTTGTGCAATTATTTTGAATCCATAATTTAAATGTTTCATACAGAGTATCAATGGATTTGTACCAGTGAAAGCCTGTTCTTCAGTAATCACCCACTCTATCGTCTCGTTGTTCTCCTCTTTTAAAACCAGTTTGATCTCATTGGCGCTGTATGTCTGGGAGCTGAACACAGGGAGAAAACATTGTCTGTCTCCACAACAAACATGACCATTTATTCACTTTTACAAGACAGCATGGTGAAAAGAGACCATGAATAAACAAAAAACAGCTCCTTGTTTGGACCCCGCGGATTCTATTTAGGCACAAAGGAACCTGATATGTCGGTCCACAGTGCAACCCTTCCCCTTTACAAATTAAACCAGGCAATAACAAATGTTTGTCAATCATTCAGACTCCTCCCCTCACCCCCAATTTTAATAATTTCGCTATTTAATCAAATTTTTCGAAATCCATCTCACAATATTACGTTCTAAATTCCATTTCTTGGTCATATCTATGCTGCCAGGCTATAACTCTGGTGGAGACGAACTAAAATGTGATTTTATTTTTTAGCTAAATATTGTGAAATTTCTTTCAACATGTATATAAAGAAGAAAATGTCTTAAATCAGCCTTTAAACCCCTGCATGTGTAATGTGACTGTGACTATAGAGATTAAACTACACCTCTGACAGTCAAACCCCACAACAAGTCTCAGAAACCATACTGAGTACCACTTTAATCAAATATTTAGACAATTCGCTTATATAGTACTCTAAAGTATTGTAATGCATATATTGTATGTAGCTTTTTATTATCATTTGAGTATTTTCTTTAAAATTGATTTTGTTTCTGTGCTTAACACATGAATTTCTTCTCAGGGATCAATAACCTTATCTATATTTGTCTTAGGTATTGACAACTTTATGCTCTTGGTTGACAGGACAACAAACCTGAGAATGAATGATAAATGATAAACATAATGTGATTTATATTCTTAATGGAATTATAGGTTCTTGTATTTTACACAGATCTTATCTCTGCATGCTCACCGGAAGACCATGGTGCAGTTCTGCCAGTCAAATGGAAAGTAACTGACAGCGATGGTACAAGCACTTCGGTACATGGCAGGAGGCAGCCAGTACACACAGCCATTTGGAGACACCAGCGCGTTGCAAAAAAATGCTACCTGAAACTGTCCGTTCACACTGCAGACCAGAAGAGAGAGGAGAAAGAAAATTAAGTTTCACTATTTTAAAAATCCTGGCCATATCCGAGTGTGCAGGTTTAAGTGAGCTGATGAACAAGCAACTTAATTAGCTTCCTGAATCAACAAATACCATATTGTGACCTGTTCTAAACATGTTCACATGTGAAGGTTGCTCCACTCACTTATTCTCCAGTACAACATCTGGCAGCCAGATGCTCTTGGAGGGGACACGAAGATCAGATGTGATATTTCCATACAGAGCTGACCTGGGTGCTTGGTCCCATCTCAGCCTGTAGTCACACCACCACTACATACAGAAATGCTCTAGGTTTCACTTTTGCCTATGCAAATATACTATATTAGCATTTGCCATAAAGCAGCTATAAAATCCAGCAGATGAAAAGTGTATGTTGTTACCATTCCTATCCAGACGCTGGTTGTCAGGGCCTCTTCCTTCTCATTCTGAGGTGAGAAACAAAAATGTAGTGAACAGTGTCAAAGACCTGTGTAACCACTGGCATTAACCAAAACTCACTAGTGAGATGAGGTTGGTGAGTGTCATCCTGATGGAGACCTGAGTAATGTCACCATTCTTCTCCACAGGTCGAATGTTCTTGTTGTAGCCCTTCATCAAATCCCTATAAAGTTCCCCTTCAAGGTTGGCTGCTGATACTGCAGACAAACCACACACACACACACACACACAGGTATGAAAGATATGAAAGACAGAGACATTTAAAGGACCAGTCCGTCAGCTATACATATTAAGTTTATTTTGATCATCATGAAGAATACAACTCAGCCTATGAACACAGTTGTATATTATCTCCAGTGGTTCTGGAGGAGCTTTGCAAAGTTTAAACAAATAACCATGATAACTCCATAGTGATGTGACGTGTATACAAGTGAAAATCAGTGTGCCAATGTGAAAAATGATTTGAGTTCACTGATGCAACTCACTCAAAGTTCCTTGGGTTTTCAGGCTGTAAGGAGAATTTTATCAGTAGGCCTACATGACGAGACCAGCTTGGCGTCTACACACGCAGAGTGAATTTAGAGTATGAAGTAGTACAAAATGAAAATGCTCAAGTAAGGCACAGATACTTCAGAATTGCACTTAAGTATAGTACTAAATTTACTTAGTTACTTTCTACCTCTGTTTTGTTTGTTCCTCATTCCATGGTGTTGATTCGGTAAAAATTCTATTACACAAGTTCACGCCACACCATGCAGATTCCTAAAAAGGATTTTGTTTGTTCCTCGTTCCATGGTGTTGATTTGGTAAAAATTCTATTACACAAGTTCATGCCACACCATGCAGATTCCTAAAAAGGAATAAGAGACTGCATCTTTTCAACTAAATGTAAAAAATGGGTTGATTAGCCAATGTTCCTACCTGTAGCGGAAATCATTAGCAGCCAAACAAAGAGCAACTGGAAGAACAGGGAAGCAGAAGCCATCAGTTTCTATTTGTACCACCGCTGGAGACAAAGCTGTGATCACTAATCTGATACACACAGACATGCCTTGATAGAGCTGCTGGCCCTCACCCTGTGAGTGCTCCCCAGAAGAAGCAAGGGCTCGGATTGGTGGGAGTGTTAAAGTTTAGAGGAGGGGGTGTTGGTGGGGGAGCCGATGATTGTTAGGGTTAAATCCAAGAGTGCCTTTCCAATAATACATAGCCAGTTGTCACAACGGGAACATGACACACACATAGTTTAGATACTGGCTGCCCTCCATTGTTAAGGCGCACCATCAAAACACACACTGCTTTCTAAATGTGTTCAGTACACCTGACTACTGTCGTTCAAATGTCCATTCATAAATAACAAATAAATAGTAATAAAATAACTCAGGGATTTTGACAATTTTAGCACAACAGTGACCTGTAAAAAGCTTTAAATAACAGATTTTCTTTTTTAATCAGAAGCAGCATTTAAATGTGAGGGAGAGCTAGAGACCACAGCACTGTACTGTAGGTGTCTGCAAGCCAGAAAGTAAAAATAGATGTGTAATGGATGAGGAAACAGGTGATAAGTGTTTTTACAGCACACCTTCTGTGATGAGTGCCCAGGCTTTGTGGAGGTTGCTGACACATTTGCGGCGTGTGTGTGTGTGTGTGTGTGTGTGAGATAGTGATGAGTTCACAGGACGCTTCCCCCCCATCACACACACACACAAGTCAGAGGCAGGAATACTTGCATTGCAACACAAGTATGTGTGTGCGTTTACTCAGCTGTTACACTCATATCCCTGTATATCCCTCCTATAGGACTTAAGCTGGGAAAGAACCTGCCACAGATTAGTAGGGAGATAACAACTGGAAAGTTACTTTGGTTTATTCCAGCACAGCTGCTGAGACTTGGTAAACAGAGGGTGGTGGTCAAAAGTAACAACAAAGTTGGGGCTTGCCGACAACTCAAGCAACTGTTGTCCACACTTGCATTTGTGAGACTCACGACAGACAAGAGACTTTAAAGGTCAGTCTAATTCTGGGTCCAGTTAGTTTTCTGCCCTGGAAATAAGGAGAAATGTGGGGGTGGGAATCACCAAAGCGCAGCAGCTGCTGTGTTGATGGGAAAGCTTAACCTTAATGGGTCAGAGCACTGAGATCAATCTGGGATCATGAAGGGAAGCATTCAGCATAAAACCCATGTCAATAGGGCATGTTTGGATCTACAGCAGCAAAATACCACAAGGTTAGTGGCATTACTGTTGAGTGATTTGAATAACTCCTATCAAAATTTTTATTTGGAATTACATAACTAGAGATACCACAGCATTCAATGGGTCATAGCATTTTTATTTATATATAGATTTTAACAAAAACACAAATGCTTTTCTCTATACAAATAAATATGGGTAGGAGTAAAGATAGCCTGAATCAGATATACATACTCCACAAGAGGCTCAGCCACTGCTTAATGATAATATGAATAACTTATTTATATAGATTTATAAAGTAGACCACATAAAAAAACCCATGGTGTGATGGGAGGGCAACAGTCATGATTGTGTGTTTAAAAAAAAAAAAAAAAAATATGGTGAAACATGCACGTGATCCTTGGCTGGATTTTCAGCACTGAAAATACAATTTGGCAGTGTTGCAGCAACAGTAAATAAAGTAAGTATAATAAATAAAGTTTTTCTGCAGGATTGAGCTAGCATTAAAATGGTAAGGAAATGATTAACTTCACTGACATTTGGGCAGATGTTTCAGTACAGTCAAGAACCAGTTGGACTGTTTTGTAATTGAAATGCATTTTTAAATGAACAGCCTCAGTTTCTTTTTACTGGTCTTTGACCATTAATCAAAGGGGCAATTTAATTTAGCTTACAGAGCGTTCTTTGATTTGACAGTTTGTCTGACAAATTACTGCTGAAATTTAGAGTTTTCCCACATTATTAACCCAGAAAATGTGCACAAAATGCACAGTAAAGACCCAGATACACAATATATCTTTTTAGCATATTTGGGTTACTGGTATGTTTGTTATTGTAGTTTTCTAAAATGCGTTTTAAGCTGACCTTTGAAAGAGTGCAGTCTGGATTTAGTCAAAATGCTTGTTGATGTTCACTACTCTGCATTGTCTTCTCTCTGTGTCAATCCAGGTGTCCAGGTTAGCTGGAGTCCTGGTGAAGCATGGGGTACAGAAAGGAGACCTGGTGGTCATCTATATGCCCATGGTGCCCCAGGCCATGTTCACCATGCTCGCCTGCGCTCGGATCGGTGCCCCACACAGCCTCATCTTTGGCGGCTTTGCTTCCAAAGAGCTTTCTGTCCGCATCAATCATGCCAAGGTTAGAAAATCTTTTTATTCATGTTGTGGCTAAGATTTAGCTTTTTGCCAGTCAGGACCACAGGACTACATTGTATTTATTAATTCTGTGTCAACCCTCAATACCATGGCCCCTCATTAAACTGAGGACACACTCATTGCTTCTTTTATTTAATGATACAGGGCCCGGCTGCAACTAATAATTTTCTTGTCTAATTTTATTGCTTTGTTAATAATTCATTCATCCTGCAAACTATCTGAAACACTGAAAGCCAATGGTGTCTGAGGCTAACTTGTTTTTAAGCTCAGAATTAATCATTCACAGTGGAACGTGCTTTGCCTTTTTCCCCAAATACACACAATCAGACCAAGTTTATGGATGAACCTGACGCTTTGACAGGGAATGTTTCTGAAGAGAACAATCTCTGTTGACTGATGTGTTTACACAACCATAAATCTGAAGAAATGCAGCACTATTAAGTGTTTCCACCAGCTACTTGGTCAAGTGTTTAAAGAGACTGTTCATGCTAAATATTGCGGTCTGTGTTATTTTTCAATGAATAGTTAATAGAGTTCTCATAGTGTATGTTCAAGGATTGGCACAGAAATTAATCTCCCTTTGTACTTCAGAAGTAAAGCAAATAGGAGCAAGTGAATGCTCCTTGTTCAGCCCTATGGAGAAAATGAACTACCCATGACTGTTTGTATATCTCTAATAGTAGTGCCCTATGAAGGCATGTTCCTCAAATATTACAATCTGAAAAGTGCCAGCTCATGCTGCTGATTTGATTTATTATGGAATTGATATTGCATGTTAAACAGGCTTATGAGAACTGATTTTCAGCTGACACTGGAGCGCTGCCACAAGCAAGACACTCTTGCTACTAATGTCCTCATGAAAATGCAGCAAAGCAGGTTTTCAGTTAACTGTGCTGGGAGCACTGGCAGCTGGTTCTAATATAGCCATAAAAAATAATAATGAAAGTTCTTGACATTTGAACACGATCTGATTTGATCCCCCCCCTTGATTTCCATTTTTTCCAGCCTAAGACTAATGGTACTGTATGAGGATACACAGAGGGCTGAAATCAAGAAGGTGAAGGAGTTTAAGTATTTGGGGTCAACAGTCCAGTGTGATGGAGTGTAGGCAAGAGGTGAGTGGG